TACACTCTCACCCCCCTCTCGCCACTCCATCTACTCTCGTCTCTCTCGTCTCTCTCTTCATCTCGTCTCTCTCGTCTCTCTCTCCTCTCTCGCTCTTCTCCTCTCAACTCTACACCCTCTCGGCCGACTCTCTGCACCATCTCTCTCTCTCTCTCTCTCTCTCTCTTACTCTCTCTCTCTCTTCTCTTCTCTTCTCTTCTACTCTCTCTTCTCTCTCTTCTCTCTCTCTCTCTTAGGTTAAATGTACTAAAATAGCTGCTTTAAAATCTATTTAGCGCGGTGTTTTGTTACAATACTTTCTCAGCTGCCAGGCTCTACGACACAATGCCACGTGGAGGGTTTCATGGGAGCGTCTCGCTCCCCCGAACATTTTGAAATTGTAGATCGCCAGGGACGATGTATTTGCAGGCACTTTTGACGTACATGCTACAGCTCATTTTGGCTATGACAATTCTATTTTTAGTGGCAACAGATTTTTTTTTTATTTTTTAATTCTTTCGGCATCAAAAGGGGGCTCCTTTGGGGCCAACCTGTGGCCCCCTTAACTACGGCAATTTATTTAACGTTATCTTTTTAACGAGGCCTAGATTATAGACAGTCTACGATAGAAAAAAGGAAATAGAGAAAATCTTTTTATATTTTATTTTTATTTGTTGATGGGGCTCTAGGGCCAGCCAGGATCCTCCCTGGCTACGCACTTCTCTCTCTCTCTCTCGTCTCTCTCTCTCTCTTCGCACTCTCCATCCCCTATCTCACTCCCACCCGCTCTCTACCGCCCTTCTTCTCTCAATTCCTCTTTGTCTCCACCCCCTCTCTCTTTCACCCCTCTCTTCTCTCTCTCTCTTCTCGTCTCTCTCTCTCTCTCTCTCTGCTTCTCTCCTCTCTCTCTTTCACACTCACTACACTCACTCACTAACTCACTCATCTCCACTCACTTCACTCACTTCACTCACCCTCACTCACTTCACTCATAACTCACTCACTCACTCAGACTCACTCACTCACTCAGTCACTCGACTCACCACTTACTCATTCAAGCCACCATGGCCCACTCATCCTCAAGCTTCACTTACGTCCGTCCGATCACTCATCTCACCTCACTACACTCCTCACTCACAATTTACTCACTCATCTCATCGACTTCAGCATCATCCACCGCATGCACTGGAGCTCACTCACTCACTCACTCACTCACTCAGCTCACTCGACTTCCCCATCAGCCACTCATCAACCCCCCCCATCTCACTAACTCCACTCACTCACATCACTCACTCACTCACTCACTCACTCATCCTCACGTTACGGCGTGAAGCCTGCCGTACCCGCTGCGGCCGCACCATACAGCTACTTCGTGCCACGCGGGTCGTTGTGAGCGTGCGGCGCGCAGGGTAGCGTCTACGCAGGGCCTGCGTGCGCTGCAACAACCGCGGCAGCTGAACGATAACTAGCCCATCGTCATCGCATCCGGTCGGTCGGCATCGTCGTCCAACCGTCGTCGGCACCGTTGCGATCGCGCGTTGTCACGCGTGCGGCGTGGCGTGCGTGAGAGTGTGTGTGCTGCGTGAGAGCGTCGGTGCTGTCCTAGCGCGCGACTAATTGACTCACTGGAATTGCTCATCTAGCTATCGACTGGCTTGCCGACCCACATTCGGCGCCGAGCGTCGGCCTTGTCGCAGACTCTGGATTCACCGCCGCGGCATGCCCGTTCGTGCGGCCGGCAGTGCTGCGTCACAACAGAGTCCGGGATCCATCCGTGGCCGTCTTGCAGGTACGCTCGCTATATAGCATGTATTGGCGTCGCGGCGGTGCGGGAGGGGTGGGGCAGGAGGCGGCAGTTGGGTGGGGCAGAGAGGGGGGGATGGGGCGAGGAGGAGAGCAGGACGCCGGGGTTAGCGTGGGGTCCGGCGGAGTGGTGGGGGTGTGGTGGGCGGCGCGAGGCCAGAGGGACGCGGCGGGTGATTTTAGGTGGGCTTTGTGCGGTGACACGACACCTTGTGTGGCGAGTTTTGGTTGTTGGGGGGCGCGAGAGGAGGCACGCGGTCTGGGTTTTGAAGCTTTTGGGGTGCGGGGGGGACCGTGGGGTGGTGTAGGCGGAGGGAGCGAGGGAGCGTGTGTAGGGTCCGGCAGGAAGTTCGCCCTCGATGTCCTTCTCAGCGCCGGGCGGGGGGTTTTGAGGGCGGCGTTGCGGGTCGCGGTGTTGTTTTGGCACAGGTGGTGTAGCTGCCAGTAGGCAGGCGCGAATACTGGCGCCGTCACCTGTGTGTTCCCAAACCCGGCCGGACGTAGCACGATAGCCCGGTCAGTGGGCTCCGTAACCCGGCCCGTGGTGTGTACGTAGACTGGCGGCAGGCGGGCCCAACGCAGTCTTGTTGTCTCGCATAAGCCAGGCACATGGGCGATTACACTTGTACGCGAGCGTGAGGGGGGCACATCCGTCAGCAGACAAACATGACACGACACTGCACCCAGACACAACGAGAAGCAGCCAGGCGCAGAAAGTCACGAACCCGCAGCAACGATGCCACGGGAACACAGCATGATGTAGCACCAGCGCAAGTAATGCAGCAAACACCCCCCCACCCGCAGCCAACCCCCCCCCCCCTCCTCCACCCCCACCCGCCCCCCCCCCCCCCCCCCCCCCCCCCCCCCCCTGTACTAGTAATTGAGCAAAGTCTAGCAATATATAGAATACGCAGCTAAATGTGACCAAGGGGGTGGGGGGCGGGAAGCATACGCCGGAGTGCTAAGGGTAGCTGGACACCTCAGTTTGGGAGATGGGGGTGGTGCAGATAGGGAAACAGTGCTGACCAAGAGAAAGTCGGCGAAAGAGCTATGCCACAGAAACACAGTCTGCATAAGTAAATATGGTGGCCAAGATTGGTGTGCGTGGGTATAGCCAGGTTTGAGAGCCGGATTCCGGCCGGTATGGAGGCTCTACTATCTGATTCGACGCCCAACGGTGGAGGGTGTATGGGGTGAGATGAGCCTAACGAGGCCGTC